TTCAAGAATAAGATCGTTTATAACCTTATTTTAAAGAAGTTTAAGAAAACCTGTTTGCTTTTATAATATAAAAAACCAAGTTGTTTGATTGTTTGCTTTTTAATATTGATAAAATTTGATGACGAGGTATGTCATTAAAAAAATATTACAAAAAATAGGTTCTATTTGTAAATATTTCTAATTTATGTATTTTTATTAATTTATATATTTTATTATATTTATGTATTATTTATTATAAATTTGTGTGTGTTAATCCGCCTTAAGATGACATAAGGGACCTTTAAAGGTCTCTTAAGGGACCCTCAGGTTTTTTTAGGCGGGAAGGCTATGTGGGTTTAAGTTTTGTAAGTGTGTAAATATTTTTTTTATATGTAATGTTTCTAAGTTTTTGATGCGTAATGTTATGTGTTTGTAGTTAGTAAGTGGTTATTATGATGTTTCCATGGTTTCAAAGCGTTGTGATTTGGCTTTTTTGACAGCAAGAGTGTTGCCCTTTCTAGCCAAGGGATGTACTTTGCTAAAGTATGACTTGGCTTTGTTATTGCAAGAATGTTGTCTTTATATATTATAATATTGATCACAAGGTATGTCATTTAATAAACGCAACTCAAACAACGTTGTATTTAAAATTGTACTTATCTATAAACAACCGTTGTTTTACTATTAAACTCCACATTTTTTTAATAATTATTTAACCAAAACAAATTTTTTTTTCTGGAAACCAGTTGATGTTACTAAAAACCCAGTTATTGTTACTATAAACCCAAATGTTACAGATTTTCTGTTAGATTTTAAACAACTTTGTTTGTTTTTTAAAATTGATAAACATGCATCACAAGGTATATCATTGAACGGGTATTACGCCAATAAGGTTGCATTTGTAGATGCTTCTAATTTACATATTTTTCTTGATTTATTCAATTATTTTTATGTGTTATATGATGTGGTAGTATGTGTTATTTGTTCTGCGTTTGTATGTATTAAGGTAATATGGGTTTATACTTTGCAAATGTTAATGTATTATAAATATCGGTTACACTTGAAGTGTTTCTATATGTGTTATATGTTATTACACAAGTAAGGTTGTATTTGTAAATGTTCTTAATACATATATTTTTCTTAATTTACATATATAATATTTGACGTGAATGGTTAATATATATATATATATATATATATATATATATATATATATATATATATATATATATATATATATATATATATATATATATATATATATATATATATATATATATATATATATATATATATATATATTGCAGTAATATTGTTGTTAATGTTTTTTCAAAGATACGCAAACCTACTTTCGAGATATTTAAATCATCAGTTAAAACTGAAACTGTTCCAGATTAATTAAAAGTAGCTAAAATTATACCTATTTTTAAAACCATTGAAACATTTGTAATAAACAATTACAGACCAATCTTACTTTTAACCTTTTTTAAAATACTTGAACGAATAATCTACAATAGATTATATGAATACCTAATTCAAAACTAATTCTTAAATAAAAAACATATGTTGGATAACTTTGTATATAAGAAAAGTAGAGAATCTAAAAATTCTCTACTTTTCTTATATACAAAGTTATCCAACATATGCTAATATTGCCTGAGGGAGTATAAATAAATCTAAACTAAGTTCTCTATATATACACCAAAAACACGCATCAAGATTGATTTATATTAAAAATAAATTCACTCATGCCAATCTTTTACTTAAAACCTTAAATGCTTTAAATATCTATCAAATTGACGTCTAACAAAATACTTTATTTATGCTCAAAAATAAGCTTGGACTTTTCCCAACTCATTTTACTAAAAACTTTTTTTAAACCAACGCCTATAGATTTATCACACGGGGAACAGGAAACTTTACATTGCCCATAAAAAAAACAAAATTTTAGAGATTTTTAATTACAAACCGTGGCCCCTATTTATACAACAAAATAATACCTCAAAGTATAGAACTTACTAAATTGGATAATCTTATTGCCCTGAAGAAAAAACTAAAAGATCTTATAATTAACAAAACTAATTTTATCGATATGTATTAAATATATAAGAACAATTAATATAATAAAGTTTAATAAGAACAATTTAAACTATAAAAATAAATAAATAAATAAAAAAAATAATGAAAAAAAAAATATATAAAAAAAAATATAAAAAAATAAAAACACTGTACAAAAAAACGGAAATGCCATTGACACTACCTTATGTATTTTGATTTGGAGATTACGAAAATAATGTCCGTTTTGTTGTGTGACCCACCAATTTTGACGGAAATTCACATTTTCAAATTTTCGATTTTCACTATTAAAATTGTCAATGTGATTTTTATTATATTTAATAGCAGTTGTTTATGATTTATTTATTAGCATTTTTTTATCACATACCTATTTGCATTTGTTTAACCTTGTATTAGACTAAATGTAAGTCTGTTTTATTTTAGATAAACTACAGTTAGCCAAGTTATATATAGATATAATACAGTGTATGATATAATACAGTTACATTTGTTTAACCTTGTATTAGACTAAATGTAAATCTGTTTTATTTTAGATAAACTACAGTTAGCCAAGTAATATATAGATATAATACAGTGTATATTAAAACAAGAAATGCCCAGAACTTGTAAAAATCAAGCCGACAACTTTTGCTACATTTGTGGCGAAATGACTTTAAAGAGATGCAGACGAAGATTGACACCACATGTGAAAAAACTGTATGAACTATACTTTGGTTGCAAAGTCGGCGACCAGGATAAGAACTAGGCGCCTCATGCATGCTGTGTGAGGTGCGCTAGTTCACTATCGTCGTGGGCGAACAGGACTGGTGGAGGACCAACATTTGGGGTGCCAATGGTGTGGTTGATGATAGTTACGAGTTGCCAGAAGATACAGAGCGTAAACCCCACTTCATAACAGGATCTGACCTGAAAGATCTCATTCGAGATTTGTATTTAAAAAAGCAACAGAGTAAATTGCTGGCTTCACGTCTCCAGGAGTGGCATCTGTTGGCTGGTGATGCAAGAGTGTCGTCATTTAGAAAGCGATCACGGAAACTGCAGCAATACTTCTCTATGGATAAAGAACTTTGCTTCTGTAATGACATCAGAGGATTGTTTGATGATCTAGGAATACAATACGATTCATCTATGTGGAATTTGTTTATTGACGCATCACGTCAATAAACAAATATAGTATTAAGGCAGTATTACTGCATACTGGAAATGTGCTGCCTTCCATTCCCATAGCACATTCGGTAACCCTGAAGGAAAGCTATGTGAATATATCACTTATTCTGGACAGAATTAAATACAGAGATCACAGATACCATATGTGCAGATTTGAAAGTTGTTGCTATACTAAATGGATTGCAGGCTGGTTTTAATAAGTACATGTGTTTCCTCTGCAAATGGGATAGCAGGATGAGATCAGAACATTATATGAGGAAATGTTGGCCACAACGAGAAACATTTGAGGTTGGTTCCCATAACGTCATTCATGAGCCTCTTGTGGATAAAGAGAAGATCGTCTTGCCCAATCTTCACATCAAGCTTGGAATCTTCAAACAGTTTGTAAAGGCGTTAGATCACGACAAACCAGCATTTCAGTATTTGCAGACTAAATTTCCTAAAATCAGTGACGCCAAAATTAAAGAGGGCATTTTGGTGCGGCCCCAAATACGAGAACTGATGCTGGATGAAACGTTTTCGGTAACGATGGATCAATATGAACTTGCAGCATAGGATGAATTCAAACGGTTGTGCCAGGGATTTCTTGGAAAACATATTGCACCAAATTACGCTGATTTGGTAGACAGATTAATTGCATCCTATCAACAACTGGGTTGTAACATGTCGCTGAAGCTCCACTTTCTTCATTTCCATCTTTCCTTCTTCTCTGTCAATGGAGATGTATATGATGAAAATGGCGAGCGCTTTCATCAGAGTATTGCCACAACGGAAAGCAGATACAAGGGAAAGTGGAGCCCCGCCATGCTTAAAGATTACTGCTGGAATTTGCACCGCGATGAACCCGATGCAGCATTCAAACGCCAGGCTAAATACAATTAAATACAAGTAAACAATTTGTATTACAAGTGATAATAAACATGTTCATACACTTATTCATATGTATAGAAAAATGCATCTTACGTTACATCTTTAAATCGTTATTTTAAAAATTACATATTTGGAATCATATTTGATTACATATTTGGAATCAGCACATCTGAATTAATAAAGATAACCTAATTTGGTTCTTGTTTTTTTCAAAAAGTTAAAAATTGTTGTACAGTGAAATTAGTTAGCAACCATACATACTAAAATATTACTGAAGAGTAGACCTCAAAAAGTTAATGTTTTGAAAATTTACTTTTTAAGTTTTTATTTTATTTGGTATTTTAAAGGTTCTCGATAAAATGACTTCTCTTATATATTAATGTATACTTTCAACAACAACGACAGGCAAGTCCCTAGTAACTATGTATATATATATATATATATATATATATATATATATATATATATATATATATATATATATATATATATATATATATATATATATATATATATATATATATATTTTTAACGATCATTACAACAATCATTAGAAGATTTACAAGAATCATTCAAAAAGGTTTCGCTTTCTTTACTTAAGAAAAAAGGATTAGTAAAGAAATGAAATCGAGATATTTTTTGACTTACTAATTCATTTGTAGACTATTTTTAATTAGACTATTTTAGGAGAACTAAATAGTTTCACATTTGTTAACGTAGGTTAAAATTTTCTAACAAATTAAATATAACATTTGAAAAACTACCATAGACTTTCTCTTTATTTCTTTCTATTTAAAACAGAATTAAAAAACTAAAAAAGATTAAGCTATTTTTACATTACTATTTTTTTAACATTGAGCAGATTTTTTTAAAAAGCGGATTAAGATTAGTTTCTGTCAAAGTTTAAA